CCCCCCCCCCCCCCCCCCCCCCCGACCGAACACAGTGCCACCCCCCCCCACCCCCCCCCCCCCCCCCCGGGGGGGGGGGGTGTACTAACCTCATTCAAATCGTTCAACAAATCACGTTCCCACTGTTCTTCCTTCAAGTGATTGTAGGCGAGAGCGACCGATGTCCAGAGCAATGCACACAATTGAAATGACACATAGTAGATGAGCACAATGAATAGTATAATGTGCCATGGTCCAGCTGTTGCAGTCAAATATTGCATGGTCTCTTCCCAAAAATCACGTTGAATTAAACGAAATACAACAAAAAATGACCCAGCAAACGTATCGAAACTGGTAATGTTGTAATTTGGATTTAAATTATTGACTTGCAGGCAAACATAGTTCGTTGGACATTCTTGAGCACCAGATGAATTGCCACAGGCTCGATGCATTCCACCCTCATAAATAAAGTTGGCTAGAATGGGAAATAAAAACAAAGCAAAACGAAACAGAGAAATGCAGAGAACAACGGAACAAGAAAACTCATTTGAGATACTGAAAGTTCTTTGCTTTACATTTCGAAAAACGCCATCAAACATGCAAAACCACAAAGCGGTGGAAGAAGAAAACGTATTAAAGAATTGTATGAGCCCGACAGAGAACAAGCAGAAAAAATAAACAAACAAACGGACGACGATTGAAATGTTGTATAAAAAAGTGAAATTGGAAACTGTCCCGTGTGTAAAAATGGCAACCAAATGTTTGCAATCTGAACATTTAACGCACATTTCAAACGAAGGCATTTAATCAATCATATTGCGAGCAATTCGTCCAGCACTTGCATGTCTATGCAAAAGCCATGCAAAATAATATTTATCACAATTGGGTAAAATTTTTGCCGAAATTTACCAAATCATTTCACACAAGGGCAACACAGACTTTTTCGTTGCACAAAAACGGTGGAAAAGGTGAAAAGCGTCAAACGGAAAGTTAGATGAGCTTTCGAAAGAAATTATTACAAACGAGCACTTAAGGAATCAACATTCACAGGAAAGAGGACCATTGAAAACGGAAAAAAAACTGGCGACAAAATTACAGAAAAAAAAAAAAAATTGGCGAAACCAATTGCGACAGAATGTATAACTTACCCGAATTTCCTGTAAAATCGGACCATTTATGCCATCTCCCATCCCGTGGCACTTTGACACAGCGTTGGCTCAACGTTCCCATATACATTTGAAGACACATTACCGATATTACGGCCATGGCAAACAAAATGTACAGGAAAAGCGAACGCATTTTCAATAGTGATTGCCAATAGATATTGATAGTGCGCCTCAGAGCCAATGAGAGTGAACATATCTTCAGAACGCGTAGCTCACACAGAGTTGGGCATTCATAGATTGCTTTTTCTGGATTCATGCACATGGCAACCGTTCTGATGAATTCATACATAGATACAACAATGCTTAGTATACATAAAAATGAACATTTTAAAGTACATACAAAAATTGAATACACTTACGCATGAATGATAATAAATAAATCAAAACAATTCCATGGATCGCGCAAATAGGTGAATTTTTCCAATACGAACCCTCTAGCTATAACCTTGATGGCAAATTCCAATATGAAAATGCTCAAGAAAATCAATCTAAAATCAAATGCAATTAATTTATTTCGATCCAAAATCGATAATAATCATGACATACTCCCATGGAATATCGAGCAATGGGCTGCCAGGTATTATGAGTGAAATGAAGCAATTGAGCAGAACTACTAAGATCATAAATGCTGCCCAAAATGGATCGGTCAGAATGCCACATGCTTTTTGACGAATCACGATATTCGGTCTGAATAGCCATAGCGATTTGACAGATGGGAAACGAAACAAAGTTTTGCTTCGATTGACAACAATAAACGTCTGCAAATAAAAAATGAATTCGAATAAACTTTCTCATGTCCCCTTAAATTTAAAAGATACATGTAACAAAACAGAACATTTCGCTTTATGAACGATTTATCACATTTCCATGAATGAGTGTCATTAAAAAAAAATAGCGTAGCATGGTCAACAATGAAACAGATAGATTGTAAATTTAATTTTTTTAATTGCAAGTCAGCAGTGGTGCTCAATTCCGCACCGTCGTTATCGTCATTCCGCCTATAGAAGTCAAAATTAAAGTTCCAAAGTAAAAAAAAGGAACGAGAGTGAATTAGTGAAGTATAGAAGCTAATTAACAGCATTGATCATAGCACATTAGAGCGTTGTATATTCCGAAAAAAAGGTAGAATAAAAATAACAAAATTCGGATTTGAAAGAATAAAAAAACGAATGAACGAATTGATGTACATCACAATTAAACACATTACCATGCATTCCAAAGTGACTACCCGCACCCGAACACATAATGAACATTTATTTAATAACCGGATATCAGGCTGTCTCTTTCGCTCTCCGAATTTTTTTTTTCCTAAGACTAGCAACAATTCAACACAAGCAAGTAGCAGCATCAGTGCGAGGATTGTAAAAACGCTTCACGACCGAACGTTGTGTTCAACAATTTTTTCAATAGTTTAAAATGAAGAATCACGTTAATTGCTGATAATTTACGGTGTTCAATGTGACTATTATATGTGTACTTCAAAACTAATATTTCTACACAATGAACTCAAATAAAGATACATGATTCCATAGCACGGAACAAAAATCACGTCACCATAAAATTTGACGCGGAAGAAACGGTCCCACATGAACCAAGCAAGAGTGAGATGAACAAACGAAATTGGACGAACGAAGAAAAAAACCTCACAAGGTATGCAGAGAATGAGATCAAATAGACCCGGCAATTATTATTCGTATACTCCATATTTTTGTCGGCGACAAATTGCCGAAAACTCTGTTTATTTTGACTAAGTTGACCGCGTTGGCGAGTCTAGAAACATTACGTAGAAATACCAATAGAATTTAAAATAAAAAAGTGATTTGTCATACGTAATTACACTTCTCGACCAGTTTTTTTTAAAGCCGCAGAAGAGACGACACATCTTCATGGTTCTTGAGGCTGTTGAATGCGAATAAGATGCCAGTTTTGCTTTAGCAGTTTGCGAGATATAGCCATTGCAGTTTCCATGAGACACACTTGAAATATATATAAATTATACTACACTTCAAATACATATAAACTTTCATGATCTTATAAATTAGGGGAAAGATCAGACCGAATATAATGATATGTGTTATTTTAAGAGGCTCAACGCACCAGAAAGTGGATCGACCAGTGCAAGTTACTTCAGTAATGTTGTAGTACCGGAGAAACGCAATTCTCGTTCAAAGCACATACAAAAAAGTTTTACAAAAGTGTTCTTATAACTTTGCGCGATTTATGTGGAACTGATAAGACATAACAAATAACTGGTTTTTTTTACAGTAAAATTGTAAAACAGTTCAAGTATCACAGTATACATACTGTAGTACCTAAATAACTAGTGCTCCTAGAACAAAACTAATGCCAGATTTGGTTTCAACTACCTCAAAAACCATGGAAATGAGTCTCCTTCTCTGTGGGAGAGTTTTTCAGAGTCGAGTAATAAATGTAATGAAACGACGACGACGACAAAATTGTTTCACATAAGCCGATTGTACCTGTTTATCCTTGTAAAATGGGTCAATATCTTCAAGGGGTGATCCAATTAGATCTTGCGCCACATATTTACTCAATCCAATTGGCAATGTGGAAAATTGTTCAAATCGTTCGAATTTGATCTCAGACGATTTGAGTTGATTCTCTTTGTCACTCCCAGCTTTTGGCACTTCTTGTTCCGGCAAAGTGCCTGGTTTCGTTGGTTTCTATGTAACGAGAAAAAAAACATTAAATCGGCGAATCATCAGTGAATCTCATCATACAAGAACAATTGAAATGAAATGAATAGAAAAAACATTTGGAACAACTTTGTCATTTTTGTGTTCTTGTAATTTGAGGTTGTCTCATTGTTTTCAAAGCCATATTGTTGTGCAAAGTGTATAAATAAATAAATTTATTCACAAAACAGAAATGAGAAATAATGTCGTCTATCGTTAAAATTAAAGAGATAATTTTAACTAAAAAAATCATTTGGAGTGTGTATGCGTGAGAGGGAGAGAGAAAGAGATAGTAAGACATAGAGAGAGAAAAAAGAAGGAATTAGAAGAAAAAAATAAAGTGTAGTGCGTTTAAAAAGACTATGTAGTACAAAAAATATATAATTATAAGCCGTAAAATACGTACAATTGGATCATTTGTTTTGTTGACATTCTTATTTTCAACGTTAACCGAAGGCACAACGAATGCTTGAAATAATGAGGACTCTTGGTCGGTTCCACCAACATCCATTATTCTCTTCGTATTTTTATTTTCTCTCCCACTACAGTTGTACTTACTACGTATCGCGTAGCCGATTATTTGTTTTTCGTCTTTCCCACTTTCTGAAAACAAATGACAAAAACAAAAAATTAACATCAAGTGCTTCTCGCCGGCCTTTAGACGATTCCCGTTTTGCTTTAATACGAAATCGTGGCTATGCGCCTTTTAGGGAATTAGTATGATTATTTGTTCCGCTACCGGATAGTATATTTAAAATTATGACAAAAAAAAACATGTAATAATAAAACAAACGGAGAATGCGAAAAAAAATGAAACGAACTTTGAAGCAACGTCAACCGACGAGAGATATTTCAACGGCAAACGTAATTAAACATACAAAATGCCATAGCCCAATTGCATTAACAAAAATCATTACAAAGTCGAGAAAACAGTGAAAGGTTTGCGACATTACACTAGCGCCAACGAATAAATGACAGATATGGCAAAATTCGTAACTACTTTTAAACCTCAAGTTATAGAGAATTTTAGGTTTTTCAAACTTCACCATAAACTCTGAGGTAAGAAGAGCTATCAGCTAATCAGTAAGAAGAATGGAAGCCTGCTTCAGTATTCTCATGGGAAACTCATTTTTACAAATATGGAGAAAGATTAAGTATTAGTCTAGTTGCTATTGCAATAGTTAAAAAATATTGTGAAATTCAATTGTAAGTTAATGTCAGTGATTAGCGAGCTCTGAATTTTTTAGTTCTGAAAAATGCTTGTATTGTAATGAATGAATAAAAAAAACTGTAAAGCTGAAGCATTTGACAGGTCATGAAAATAGTTCAAAATTATACCACACGCGTCACTGTTGTGTTTCAAACCGAATGAAAATGGACTGTGCAAAATGCAATTGAGGTTTGAATGGAAACCAGAAAGAAATGCCCATCCTACGAAAATCAAGTGAAGAGGAGGTGAAGAGTGACAAGTGTACAAGTATGGGGCCCATCAAGAGCATCATCGCTTCGTAGTGTGAGATGAGTAATAATAATTTGTACACTTATATTTTACACTGTTGCTGATGGTTTGGGTGTATGTTTTTTCTTTCTCTCTTCTTTTTTATACGTTCAAATCCACACAATTAAAAATCAAATGCATAGCTAGGGATTCAAAGTATGAACATTAGAATTAAAATTGCGACTAGGCAACAATAACGAAATTACTTTCATTGTCTAACTAAGTACGTGGCATTTCGCGGCTGGTAAAAATACGAGATTAGAGATATAATCCTGAATCATTATCCGCAATGGTAACAATGCATTGTGCGTTGTTTGGCGCTTCGATTTTGAAACGACGGTCAGCTTTAGAACTTTTTTTTTGCAGACGAACAGGTTTTAATGTGTATCACTCTTCCTCGGAAATGCTTATTATTGTTCATTTTATTTATTTACATCGTTTTTACTCTCTTTGTAATTTATTATTATTTCTTCATATGTATATCCTGCATTCGATGTTGTGAATTTGCTGAAATTATTAAATTTAAGTGACAAACTTGGCAAAAAAAGAGAATCCCAATGAACGCCGATGAAGAAAGAAAACTGTTTCTCACATACAGTCACAATGGACACACTTTGGCCACTGAAACCAACATAAAATCAAAAAAACAAACGCCGAACGATGTGCATGTTAACGCAGCATAAGAAAAGCGCATCGGCACAAAAACAGAACGCGCGTAAAAAATGGAACTAACGAAAATTGATCTTGAAATCCAAACAATGAGCGATGACAACTTGAGAAAACAATAACACGAAAATTCGAAAGGATACACGAATTAGACATAACGACCGAGGATGAACCTCGGCAAAAAGGTATAATTTAAATAAGAACAAACAAAAAACGAGCCGCAGAACATATTTAGAAGAAGCAAAAACAACAACAAAAACATAAACTGCACAACTGTTTACACTAATGAATAGGCCGAAGCATTGAAAATTGGAAAACGAAACTCACAAAACGGAACGTTTTGAGCACGCAAAAAAAACGGTTGGAGAGATCACACACGGAAAAAAGATGCGTATTTAAAGCTGTTGCGACAACGAACACGTTCGACAATATTTCAAATCAAAGCGAAACACACAAAAAAACGGATGAACGATTTTCAATGTGTATACACTGACCAAAAATCGAGCCAACTGCTAGCACTGGACCACGTAAATTGCGATTTGTGATGCGTTCAATTTGAGCTCAAATTACGTTATGACCCGCTGTCCACGATCAACGCTACTTATGATGTCATATGACCTGTTTCATCGAACGATACTTGGCTAGGACTGTTCCTATCTCCTCTGCCGAAGCAATTATTATCTCACTCGACTTTAGTGTGGTTAATTTCGAAAAATTAAAGCAAATGTATGATCCACTTACACGCATGCAATGTATCTTCGATCCAAGCGATCGCTGCATTGAAATTGAGATTTCAATCATAAATACTTTTGATGAAAGAAGTTATCGCAACACAACGAACACATTAACACTCGTCGCACACAACGACGAGTTCAAACGCAACGCAAAGCATAGAATACAAATTTCGAATGTACTGTTATCATGTATGGAATATTTGCGCTTGTGTCTCATTTTTTGTTGTTGGTGTGGTTGTGCTTTCATCTGCTAGCGAAATATCATGCCGTCTCCTTGTATTCATCCGCTAGCCACAAAAGAGGGAAAAAACGGTGATGAGAATCAAGCAAATATTATGTTCTTTCATTTAAACAGCAATCGAATCATACGACTGGTGAAATGAACGAATAAATTGCTGGCATTGGAATATCTGAATGTTCCGTCGGCGAAATTCGCACATTGTGCACGCATTGTGGCACTGTAATACAAGACAACGAATTCACTGAAACAATTTAAATTGAAATATGAATGCGTATACTTGCGCGTTGTGTGCGCAATGATGATCGCGAGTAAAATAGAGTTATGCACAAATGAACATCTTCTCGCCACAAATAATCTCATTCACACAATCGCGCATACACACAGGCCCATAGAGAGAGGGAGAGAGACCCGACAATCGAAAACAAAGGCCCACTGTTTTTAGTCATGCATTATATTGTCATTGTGTTTCATTCCATTCGAATGCAAACGAGTGCCGCTTGTTTGTTTGTTTTTTCTTTCTTCTTCTTCTTCTTCTTCTTCTTCAGCTCCCGCCTTGTTCTTGAGAATTTTTCAATGGCTGATTCTGGTGTGTAGTCGCGTAGTCATTTTTCCTTTCTCCCTTCTTTCCATGTGTTGTTGTTGTTTTTTTTTCATACTCGTTTGTCGTTCTTCTTCGATTAAAACTTTTGCTTAAATGTTTTTTTTTATGTGATAGAATTTATTAATATCTTTTTCTCTGTTTATCGTTCAAGTCGAACGTATTCATTGTCGCTTTAGCACACAATTCTGTGCATAGTTCAGACTATGGTTAGAATGTCGTCTTTAATTATAATTTTAATGTTGAGTGGGTGCGCGTTTCATTAAGTTGCAATTTGGCTACGATGAAAACGGATCGGAACCCAACTAGAACCACTGCCATTCATTTTTCTTTGTGTTGAGTGTAGAAATGAAATAGAACACAGCAACAGTACAAACTGGTGAACAGAAGATGACAGACAAATTGAATAGTCACAGTGGCTACTGGAATAATTTTTTCTTCTTTTTGGTTTTGCTTCATGTCACACTCAAGATATGAACTGAACCGACAACAATGCAACAACATATACCGGTAGTACTATATGTACACGCAGCTGGCTCATACTTGTGCCATTTTAAAGCCAATTAATCGCTTTGGATGAGGTTTACCCTTGATTTTGCATCTTATTTCAAATGAGTGGTAATTGCAAATTAAAGCCAAATCAAACGCACCGGTACACAGAGAGTACTACGTTCACTCGCCCAATGCACAATGTGTGTTGCATATTCGTTGGCTTGAAAATCAGTTGAATTTGAATGAAAATGCATTAGCGTTGAAGGAGGACAGTAAAACACTCACGATGTGAAGAATATTTGTACTTATATGTAAAAATGCTAAGTATATAGTGGCAAACGCAAACAGGGACAAATCGTCAGCATTGAACGCAGAAATGTTGCAAATTGACGGAATTCAGAAAAGTTCGACATGGAAGCACGCCGAAAGAAAGCGAACACCAAAACCTGTGAAACAGCATTCCCTCAAGCACAGAAAAACGACTGGTAGAGAACAAAAAGAAGAAGTTGAAAAATGAGAGAAATTCTGTTTTCAACATCAATAGAGACATTTCAAGAACAACATTCTTTTCCACCCGTTTCGCTTAGTTTCATGTTTTTTTTTCTTCTCTCGCCTTATTGTGCGCAAGATTCAGATGCTTGTATTCCCATTGGTGATATAGTGTTTGACACAACCATTCTGTATACAGAGAAGAGTTTGATATGCCAAAGGGAATTATTGCAATCCATATTAGGGTTACTTGTGCAGCGATTTCGCTGTTCTTTCTTTTAATCAAATCAAACTAATCAATTAACCGCATAACAAGCACCCGTGTACCCAAACCATACTGAGAAAGTCAGTCAGGCGCCGGATTTGAATATTGGACTTTTTTTTCTTAACAAATTTGTTAGCGTTATCCAATAAGTTTGCGCTTGTCGTGCATGTGAACTCATGATTATAAAATCTGTGTGTTGAAATTTTTAAAAATTCTTCCGTCTTTGTCCTGTAACTTCTAGGCTCCCTTTTTCTTGCGATGGACATTGACAATACACACATCAGTTGAAAAGTATTTATTGAAAGTTTGAATTGCAATGACGAAAGCACACTAACCTCAAGATGAATGTAGTAAATTGACTGGCGGCGACAACATGATTTCATCGCAAACGGCCGTAGTCGCATCGTATCTATTAAAAGATGTCGATTATAATGATGTCATTTCTTACACACAGCTCCGAACAAAGAAATGTGCAAGATATGAATATCCATATACGGGGTGATGGCCAATACTATTCCGCTTTATGCAGCACATAAGACTGGGAATTTTTCTCTATCGAATTTCCTTCTGTTACTCGCCAAATGCTGAATATTTCTTGTCGCTTTGTGAACTATTTGTGGATCGTTCAGGTTTTCTATTCTCTATCAAATTTCGTTTGTACATTTTTTGCAAGCACGATTCCATGCATTCTTTGTTGCGTGAAGAAATCCGGACAGAAGATTGGTGGCGTCAGTGTTTGCGTAGATAACTTGAAATAAATGACAGAAAATCAATCAATTATCATCATCATCTCGTTGCGAACAAGAATGGTCGGTTCACAGAATCATGAAATTTTCGTGGATCTTAATCCACGACATTCATTTGTTAACGAAAATTAACAGATTCAAAAGTGTACAAAATTCACACTTGATTCTTGTGGCTTCATTGCAGACAAGCAGGCAATAAAAAACAATAATAAACAGTGTGCAAAAATTTGCACCCAAACAAAATGATTTCCACCGAATCAAGCATATTAGTGAGTTTTATTTTACACACATGTCCAGCTAAGCATTTTTTTTGTGAATCGAGAGAAAGGTCAATTGGCATTAGCGAAATCAGCATAAAACAAATGCCCGCTTATTGTCGAGCATCGTTTCGGCTTACTTAATTATATTATCTAACTTCCAATCTAAACAGATTAAAGCATTATCGCATGGCTCAATAAGGCATAACAAGGCAAACAAATTCGACGAATAAAAACTCCATCTTTAACCATCAAAATAAAAAAATCTCGAAAAGAAAGAGGATGCGAAAAAAAACATACTGATTGTAACATTTGAAGCAACAACAAGCTAGTGAGTGCGGGCGCAAATAATTCAACTTGTTTTTTTTGCATCGAATTAAGGACCGTATGTTCATCAATTGATGGTTTTGTTTGCATTTAATTTGGTGTTGAAAGGAAAAACAAGATGATCCAGCTTCGCTCCACTCCACTCTGATGTACGTTAAAATGTTCTTCAGTTCATTTCAATGATTTATATTATTTGAATTTTACAAATGGGCACCTTTGCATCAAATAAAATAATTAATGGGAAGTTTCTGCGATCCAGAAAATCGACTTATAAATCACAAACAATTCTTTGGAAATGGCCACTCCAATTGCTCTACAAATCATGTTGTGTCGAAAAAAAAGAAATTAATGGAAATCTCTGTGTGCGTGTGTTTTTTTCCCTTAGCACACACAACTTCATTCCCACTTGAGCGAGCGAAAATGGTGAATTGGAACTCGCCCCGATTCAGATTATTCCGTTTTTTATTTTCTTTGTTTCGTTGATTGCCGGTGAGTAATCTCCGAATTGCTCTTCGGCCCAGAAAAAACGTGCTTATAAACAATACAAACACAATGTGGACTTGTGCTCTTTGCTGCTTAATTCGGTCACTTTGAGTTTGGTGCATGTGAAAAACGATTTCTTATCTTAAATATCTTATCTATTCATCTACCACAACAATTTAGCTCACAATTTAGTTAACTATGTTTCCGATCTCCTTTTTATTCTTTCTTTTCTTTTTTTCCTTCTCTCGTCCGGTCCAATCGATTGTTATTTCCTGGTTGTTTCGTATGTGTTTTAATTTGTATTCGAGCACTTTAATTTCGATAATTTTGTAGTGACCGATCTGAGTAGTGATGGTTAGACAAAAGAGCGGAAAGTAGCGGAAACGAAAACGATGGCAGTGACAAAAGAACAAGGCACTGAAAAAAATCGAGCAAACGATGAATTTAGCCTGGGCAAACAAACGGACGAGATTTATTTCGCTGTATTCCGCACTTTTTTCCTCTTCGCTTCGGTCGCTGTGGTTTGCGTGCGTGATTCTCTTATCGGGCAAGCAAATTTGTTCGACATTTCACAATTTGTTTTATTTTTTTGTTCGCACATTTTTCCACTCTTTCACTCTCGTTCGTACTTTTTTTCCTCACCTCATATCGTATGGTTATACACAATTAACACATACGAATGAATGCATCGACTCCATTAAATTGTGGAATAGAAAAAAATGAACTGACCATGTGATAAGAATGCAGTGAAATAACACGGGACGATTCGTTCCCAACACGATATTGGGTGTGAAAATAGAGACGGATACACGAAAAAAAGAAGGAAAATAACACATGTATCGGATTATGTATTGTGGTTGATTTCCCCTGTTCTTTGAATCTATTGTGGTCATTGCTTTGAAAGCGGTTTTTTGAATGATCATTTCGTTTTTGCCCACTGTTTTTTTTTGTCTCTTTTTCACACTCGTTCTCATTTTCGTTCTCTTTGGTCACTTTGATTATCACGACCCCAAATGTAGCAGCAT